CCCTTCCTCTCTGAAATCAATATATATATATATATATATATATATATATATATATATATATATATATATATATTTCTTTTTTTTTTTTAAGGAGAAAAAATGAACAGCAGGCCTGTTCCAACAGTTGCAAAGCCCAGAGCAAGAGTAGAAATGGAGACCCACATACCATATGTCTGAATAGTAAAAGTGATAAATTAAATTGACAGACTGTTAAATAAAATATGTACTATCTTCCTACCTTGAAAATAGACCATCCTAACAATCTGCAAGGCCAGATCTGAATTTTAAATTTCAGGCTCTTTGGGGTTCTGCACCCAGCCCATGGCCTGCGCCCTCCTCCTCCCGCTCCTAGCTCCATTCTGCACTGAGAAGAACTCTGAATGCACAGGTCTGGACACCTCGGCCAGCCTGATGAGTTTCCACCCATGATGTCCTTGGCCTAGGTCTACTCAGCAGGATGGACTCAGGAAAGAAGCCCAGAAAGGTTCAACTAGCAAGCTGGGGTGATTTGAGCAAGACATTTCAAGGTGCCAGGTACTCGGACTGTGGGCTAGAAGTGGGGAGGTGGGAGATAGGGGCTGGGTGGACAGGACCCCTTGATTCCACAGACTTCCTGTCCCTTAAGAGGGGTACGGCTAGGGGAGAGTCCCAGCGGGGCTCTGTGAAGCCCACGGTCCAGAGCAGGGTCCCCATTTGCCCACGTCTAAGGCCGCTGCCGCTGAAGAGTAGACACTGCCTGTCTGAGCCGGCAGCAGGAAGAGACGAAGCTGTACGCTCTGCCCGAGGTATGCCCATGTCTGCACTGGACTGAAGGGAAGACTTGCTCCTTATAGGGCAGGAAAGCTCAGCCTTTACCTGCTCGTAACAATAACATCCAATTAGACCACAAGCAGAAAGCGTACACAAGGAAGCTGCAACGAATAATGAAGATATGATGCTCTCTCCCGTTGGGCCAATGACCATCATTGTAAAGTCGACTGCTCGCCTGGCAAGATTTGTAGAACTGGGGATGTGGCTTCCGGGCCCGACGTGGTGGCTACTGAGCATTAAGTGGTTGAGCAAGTCACTTTGCAGTCTGTGTCCTCCTCTGTCCAATCGGGATTATTCTCGCTCAATCTCCTTCTACTTGCAAGGGGTTGGATTCCTTCACTGGATATGAATTTTCTCTTCCAAAGCTGACTGGCCAGCTCAACATAACCTCGCTGCACCCTTCACTAAAGTCGGAAAGAGAAATGGCCAAGCTGCCTCCTGCCAGAGGAGTGTCCAGGCCGGGGGACTGGCTGAGAGGGAAGACGGGCCCGGCCTTTCTTGGAAACGGGGGGGGGGGGGGGGGGGGGGGGGGGGGGCAGGGCAGCCAGCACCTGTCTGTCAGCACCAGGAGGAAGGGGGCAGGGCATCTGGAGAGCAAACCCTACACCTCTCCGCCAGCAGGCGGCCACTTGCAGGGAGGACTTCTGTCATTTACATCTCACTTAGCTCCCGGGGACAAAAGCAGGCAGGCCAGGGGCAGCTTCCCAGCACTCGCTATATGTGGACTGTGCTGGGCGCATTAAGTTGGGGGCGTTGAGTCTGTAAGCCAACGCTCTATCCACTGAGCCAAACCGGTCAGGGCTAGGTTGGGGGCATTGAGAATGGCACCAGGTGTTAGACCAGATGGGTCAGACCAGACCTGGGTTCAGCAACCTCGGTACTTGGGTTCTGGCTAGGAAAGAATTCAGAGCCAAGACTTAAGCTATAAGGGAACTAGAAGATCACAGAGGTAGAAGAAGTAATTCTAGAAGAAATGGGCTTAGTGAATAAGTTATAGAGGCAAAGGAAGGGCCCTTGGAGCTTAGAAGTGAGGAAGGTGAAGGTGATGCACCTGGGGGGAGGGAGGGGGGGGGAGGTTGGAGGGAAGAGTGTTGGCACCAGGGCAGGGGGTCTTTATTCAATGCAGCTGGTTCTGAGAGCATCCATGGTGTGGCTTGTCTGGTTTTGCTACTTTTCTGGGCCTGGAGCTGAAAAACAACTGAGGCCTCGATGTTATCTCTAGGGAGGAAAGGTCAGGCGGTCTAAATGTAATGACCAGCGATATGCTAGGGGAGGAGAGGTCACCCTGGGGGCAGGTTCCACGCTACAACTGTCCGTTGCTAGGCACCTGGGCTTTCCACCCTGCTGACCTCCTGCTCCTGGCCCATCGTCCTTGCTCTGCTCACGTCTAACTGCCTCCCACGGTTAGTGGATGAGAGGACTCAGGACACACAGAACAGAGGAGTCCTTTACAAAGCAATGTGTCCACACAAGCCTGTGTATGGGTCCGTACTAATGACTGCAATTACTGAGTATCAGAGTGCCAAACTTTATAGATTTGATGAAACCCCCATCAAAATCCCAGTGGACGATTTTGAAGAAATAGACAAGATTTTTTGAAAAATGTATATGGAAAAGCCAGTGTTCTAGAATAATCAAAACACTGGACAAAGTTGGAGAACTTACGCTACCTTATATCAAGACTTCTTTTTTAAAAAATATGTTTTTATTGATTTCAGAGAGGAAGGGAGAGGGAGAGAGAGAGAGAGAGAGAGAAACATCAATGATGAAAGAGAATCATTGACTGGCTGGCTCCTGCATGCCCCGCACTGGGGATCGAGCCCACAACCCATGTGCCCTTGACCAAAATTGAACCTGGGACCCTTCAGTCCGAAGGCCGACGCTCTATCCATTGAGCCAAACGGGCTACAGCTATACCAAGACTTCTCATAGCCCTTGTCAGTGTGGCTCAGTTGGTTGGAGCGTCGAGTCCCATGCAGGTTTCGGGTTTGATTACCATTCAGGGCACATACCCAGGTTGTGAGGTCAATCCCTGGTTGGGGCATGTACCAATCGATGTTTCTCTCTCTCTCTTTCTCTCTGAAGACATACTAGTATCCTTGGGTGAGGATTTAAAAAAAGACTTACGATAAAGCTACAATAACTAGGACGTTGTGGTACTGAAACCAGAACAAAGTCCTGCTGCTGGTGGCTACTAGAGTCCATTAAGTAGAGATGGGGTTGAATCTTCGTGGTGCTGTTTATGATTCAGGTGGCGGCGGTCTGAGAGCGCAACAGGTGCAATGCCCTGAAAAGACCACTCTGACACTTCATTTCAAGCCAGCCCTTATGTAGGGTTAGGGGGTGAGGGGGGGGGCGGGACGACTAACACTAGTGAATTCCCACGGTCTGCTTTCCATCATCATCCTTGCAGAGATTAGCCCAGAACACGGTCTCTCCCTTCAGTTAGTCCTGTCCTTGACTCGCACTTAAAGTGTATCTTCTTTTCTGAGCAATGGACCCATCTGGGCTTGGAGGCCGCCTTATCTTTATGGCCCTGTTTTTCTTCTTGCAAAACATCCTCCAGTTTACCAGAGTCTATAAGAAAAAAACCCGTTTCTATTGTTAGTGTAGTGAATCGCTATTAACTATAATTCTGCTTCTATTACACACCCTTCCCCTATCAGTACTGGTGTAAGGAGAGACAGATAGATCAAGGAAACAGAATTGAGTCCAGAGATAGATTCACACGTATACAATCAATTGGTTTTCTACAAAAGTGATGAGTAAGTGAATAGGGAAAGGGATGTTTTTCTAATGAAAGTTGCTGGAACAACCAGAAATCCACTTGTGGATAAATCTTGACCCCTATCGGACTTTATTCACAAAATGAATTTGAGGTGGATCATGGGCCGAACCTAAGACCCCAGAACTGTACGGGTTCTTGAAGAAAACGGAAGACCATCTTTGTGATGTAGGAGTAAGACAGATTTCCTGGGGCAAGATACAAAAAGAAAAAACTGAAAAAAAGTGTCTTCACCAGAATTTATCCAAAGACACCATTAAGAAAATGAAACCCAAATCTGCAGACCTGGGAGAAGATCTTTGCAGCTGAGGAAGGATTTTATATCCAAGACATATAAAGAATCCTTACAAATCAACAATAAAAAATATAAACATTCCCATTACAACATGGGAAAAGACCTCCACAGACACGTTATAAAGCAAGACATTCAAATGGCCAATAAGCAGTTTTTAAAAAATGCTCAACCTCATTCGTCAGCAGGGAAACGGCACTTAAAACCACAGGGAAATACAACTTCACACACACTAGGATGGCAGAAATCAAAGACTGGTGCTCTGGTTCTCCAGTGCTGCACAACTTCATCACACGAAAATGTAGTAACTTCAATAACAACAACCATTTCATGATCCCTCACAATCCCTTTGAGTTAGGAATTCAGGAAGGGCTGGGGTAGGGCTGGCCTGGGGCCTGCAGCAGCTGTGGGCACCTCCCTTCACGTCCTAGGGTCTCTCCCCGTGGTCTTTTTGGGCTCCCTCCCGGTCTAGCGGCCTCAGGGTGCTCAGACTCCTTCCCAGGAGGCCCAGGAGGCCGGGAGCAAGTCTTCCAATAATGAAGTGGATGCTGCATTACCTTTTATGACCTGGCCTAAGGAGTCACAGTGTCACTCCCACCACACACCGGTAGGAGTGAGCCAACCAGCCCACTCAGAAGGGGAGTGGAGTTGCCTGCCTCCTGATGTGGAAATGGCAGAATTCTAGACGAGCGTGTGGGATGAGAGATGTTATTCCTGCCATTTTGGGGGGATCTATATATAATCTGTGGTGAATAAACCTGGAGAGAAACGCCGGGCTTTGTGAGCCACACTGAAGTTCAATCTCAGTATGAATTGTGAGGGGGCCCCATTGGAGGGTTTTAAGCAAGGGAGGGAAACTATCCGTCTTCAAAAATTAATTCTAGCAGCTGAGTCGATAAGGAATTCTTGGAGAGAGTTTGGAAGCAGAGATCATTTAGGGGGGGTGTCCGGACGTTAGACGTCCAAGTGCCAGACACTGCGGTGAGTCCCAGCCTAGGTGAGCGGGTCGGGGTAGGACCGCCAGGCGCCTGCCGGCCCAGCTGTTCTCTTCCCGGAGAGCAATGAAGTAAGTTTATTTTGCACATCTTGGGCTTGGAAAGCCAGGGTAGATGTATGAGACTGGAGCTTGGAGGACACACGGTGCGGCGAGAACAAACAGCGTTGGAAAAGGTGCTGGAGTATACGAGTACTGACAACCTCTCACTCTTCCCCATTCTGCCAAGGGCTCAGACTGAACCGCGCATGCGCACACCTAGTCCGCGGGCGGCGCCCAGGCTGAAGCTTCCTGAATGCGCACGCGCGCGCGCTGTGTGGCTGTCGCCATGGAGACGCGTGGGTCTGGTCAAGCCCTCAGCGCCTGGAGCCGCCCGCTGGCCTGCAGCGCGTCTTGGGCTGACCCACGCGCACTTGGCGGCCCCGCAGCGGCGGATGGACGGCCTCCGTGGGGCCGGGGCGGCGAGGTATGGCGAGGGTGATGAGGATGAGGAAGAGGAGCTAGAGGGCGGCCCTGCGGACACAAAGGAGTCCAGACTGCCTCCCATCTCCAGCTGCGCCCCAGAGCCCAAACGGAAGGGGAAGAAGAAAAAGAAGAAGAGAAAGACTGAGAGGTCAGGCAAGGGAGACGGTAAGAGGAACAGCCAGCTCGGAAGCCTCAGCTCCTGTACCTGAGATTTCTCCCCCTAACCACCCCCCCCCCCCCCGCCCCAGGTCACCCACCCGCGTCCCTCACAGAGACCCCCATCTACCTGGGGACCAGTTCAGACCAGAAGCAGACACTCACCCGTCCCAGATAGAGGTCCTCCCGCTTCCCACTTACGCCACGCCGCGATGCCCCTCCCCTGCTCATAAAGACCATCCATGTACACAGAAACCCTGCCCCAAAGAGCACAGAGATCTCAAATCCTGCATCGAGAATTCTCAACATCCATGGAGACACTCTACCCCAAACAAAGACACTCCCATACCCAACATTATTCCCACAGTCTCCCAGCCCCACACAGCACCTCACCTTTACTAAACGCTCAGCTGAATTGCAATCCTAAACCTCCCTACCTTCCCCACAGAAATCTCAAGCCCTCCTACAGAGATCGCGTCATCCTCACAGACTTCCCCCAAGCCAAAGCCACTAAGCACTAGAGGCAGACACTCCTCACACACAGAAACACAGACTTCTGCCTTCTGTCTAGAGACCCTCCTTGCCTCCTCCTCCCTCAGGGGTAGCTGGCCTCTGGATGTCATGTAGACACCCAGTTAATGCATATGAAGTAGTGTCCTCCCTGCACAGATGGTCATCCCCACCACCCGTCCACCAAGGCCAGCCTCCCACGGCACACACACCATCACATCCGTCACTGCTACATACTTTTATAATCCCAAACATCCTCAACAACACCCCTTTATGTCACTATAAGCACCACATAAAACTAAAGCACAGATACCCCATCAGGCACACACAGCCACAGCCTACACACACATACAGATACTGTTTCACACTCACATGCAGAGACACCCCCCCCCAAGCAGTTCCTGTACACATACAACTGTATGCATGCAGGCCTCACTCCAGTCTCTCTCAAGGACACATCAGATCCACACACCAGCCGCTGCCACACACCCACAGAACCCCTACATCTCCCTGAACTCTTCTCATAGGACCCCCCTGATTTTTTGACAAAGGCACTGAGCACCTATTTTATGGAGAGAGAATAACTGATGTAAAACGCTATCTCCACTGTCACCTGTGTGGTCTCCCTCCAGGCTTTGGCTGTCTGGGGGGGCTCTCGCTGACCCTGGCTCAGCAGCCCTGACCTCTAGTGTGGCTAGTCCTGGGTCCAGTTTCTGGCCCTGGGCCTTTGTGTGCAGAGCTGGCACCCTGGCGAGCTGGAGGCAGAAGGAGTGGCCGCCGGCCCCATGTCAACCTGGAAGTTTGGGGAAGGAAACAATAGGAAGATCACAATTATTCATCAGGTGGCATCGTAATAAAAAGGCACACAATTCTGGAGGTTAGGTCAAAAAGCCCTCCTTTGGTTTTGTGTCTGCAAAACCAAATTAGGAAAACTTATTGTCTTTTTGGCTTAGCTTCTGACTCTAGAAATTAGAGTGGCACGCACTTCCTACTGTCAGCAGGGGACACCGAATAGTTCTGGGGGAGTAGAAAGGTACAGAAATGTCAAAAGAGCATTTTTTCTCTTTTTTGGGCGGGGGGGGGGATTTCCCTCCCCACCAAAAAGAAGGCTAAGCTGATGAAAGAACCACTGCTTATGTGTGTTATATAACTCAGGAATCTTATTAATGTAAAAAAACCAGTACAAGCCACACAGCAGAAGTATTTCCTGGCTTGGCATGATATTACTCTCCACAGTCAGATGCAGGAAGTTTTTCTGTTCTCCATTTCTCCATCATAAAGAAGTCTAGACGGAGGGCGGGGGGCAGAGTCATGGGCGCCTAGAACTGAATGAATCTGGGTGAGCATGTGGAGAGGTGAAGTGAGGGGCAGCATGGCACAGAGGAGAGAACAGGGCACTGGGAGTCAGGCCTGCATTCAAAATCCTGGCGCTAAACATACACATGCACGCACGCACGCACACACGCACACACAAACACACATCCTGGCCCTCCCACCTGCTATATAACATTGGCAAGTTACTGAGACTTTCGGAGTCTGTTTCCTCACCTGGAAAACTGGGCTGATAGCCTGTATCCAGAGGACTGGCTCATAGTAGGTGCTCACCTAAAGCATATGGCAGTGGAGTGAGTCCCAGGCTGGTGGGCGTGGCCACTGAGCCCTCGGTAAGGAGGAGCCTGCACTCCCCACCCCCTTATACCTTTGGTGAGTTTGGCATCCTTCCTGAGCAGGAGGAGGGCAGACATCACCGCAAACGCTAACGCTGCTCATCTGCTCAGCAGATAAACGCCAGAGCCGAAGCCTGAAGCAGCAGCAGCTGTCTTCATCTTTCCACGATGTCCTGAGTCCCGGCAAAGATCATGGCCCGAGACCAGAACACAGGCAGGACAAAGAGCCAAACCAGCTCGTCCCTTCTTTCTCCTCCTCCGTCAATCTCCCCAACTTTGGCAAATTCGAAGAGAAACTCTCCAACAAGATCAACGAGAGTCTGCGTTGGGATGGAATTCTCGCCGACCCAGAGGCAGAAAAGGAGCGGATTCGCATATACAAACTCAACCGGAGGAAGCGGTACCGGGTCTTGGCCCTCAAGGGCATCCACTCTGACCCCTGTGCCGAGGAGAAGCCGGAGAACCCAGCCCGTCCCTCCCAGGACAGCACCAACAGCAGGCAGCTGGCGTTAAAAGTCGCCGGCCCTGACGACTTCCTGGGGGGAAGCCTGGCTCCGGGGCCCCCACACTGTGACCTGGCCACTACTCTGCCCGAGTGAAAACCCACCCGTGAGACTGACAAGCTTATCCTTTATCCTTACCGCAAGTTTATGTGTTAGAAAAAGGAGAAGAATAAAAGGAAATCAGACCTACCTCTGCAGGAAGCAGACCGCTGCTGTGTTGTTGATGAGGTCGACCCTCCTGCCACCGCGGTGCCCTCAGGGGCCCGGGGCAGCCACCGCTCCTCCACACACGCAATTTAGCGAACGAGGTCTTTTTCTGCATTTCCTTTTGCTCAGAGAAGCTGGCATCTCTTTGCACTTTCATTTCTCATCACAGTTAGATAACTTGCCGCCTCCCCGCTCCCCCCCAAAAAAGGGAACGTGTATAGATTCTAGCAATTCTAACTCTTAAACGAATTTCGTGGGTAAAGCTCCAGACACAGCACCCTTCTGTGGGCTCCAGGAAAATGCTCCAAATATCCTGGAGACCTTTCCTATTCATTAAACACGCTCCCTGCCCTCATGTGGTCTTCAGGACAAGTGAGCCCCAGACGCCATTCCTGGGAGGTTATGCTGAGACGTCGCAAAGTGCATATTGCTTCTCTTATAAACACGATCCTCCCGAATCCCCCCAAATGGCGTTGTAAGCAAAGTTTTGCAAAGGCTCTGCTATGCTACCTGTCCCGGGTTGCCATGCTTCCCTTCCACAAATATCGAGCGAGGGCCACCGCTCTCTTCGTTTGGGTTCCCCCAGAAGCGGACCCTGAGTCGAGGACTCGGGTGCAAGTAGATTACTTGGGAGGTGAAGGAAAGACCAACAGAAACAGGGAAGAAAAGGCAGCCACGCCCTGGCTCAGTGGTTAGAGCATTGGCCTGCACATCGGAGGGTTTGAGGGTTTGATTCCAGGTCAACGGCACACACCTGGGCTGTTAGGTTCGATTCCTGACCCCCGGTTGGGGTGTGTGCAGGAGGCAACCCATTGATGTTTCTCTCTCACATCGATGTTTCACTCTGCCCCCTCTACCTGTTTCCCCCTCTCCCCTCCCTTCCACCCTCTCTCAAAATCAATGGCAAAAATATCCTCCGGTGAGGATTAACACACACACCCACACACACACACACACACACACACACACACAAGACAGCCAATCCAGGGACACTATTTTTGTAAAATTAATTATTGTTGAAAGTATTACATATGTCCCCTTTATTCCCTAATTGACCCCCTTCAGCCTGCCCCTCCCCACCCCCCGCCTCAGGCTCTTGCCACCCCATTTTCTGTGTCCATGGGCCAGGAGGTCCATGGTTAATTATTTCCTACCCACCCACACTCCCCCACCTTCCCTCCGAGTTTTCGCACTCTGTTCCATGCTTCCACGTCTCTGGATCCACATATGAGTGCGATCATGTGATACGTCTTTCTCTGACAGACTTATTTCACTTCGCGTGATACTCTCCCTCCATGCTGTCTCAAAGGGTAAGAGATTCATCTTTTTCCCTGCTGCATAGTATTCCATGGTGTAAATGTACCACTGCTTTTTTATCCACTCATCTACGGATGGGCACTTGGGCTGTTTCCAGATCTTAGCTATTGTCAATTGTGCTGCTATGAACGTAGGAGCGCATACATTCTTCCTGGTTGGTATTTTGGGGTTTTTAGGATATATTCCTAGAAGTGGGTTCACTGGGTCAAATGGCAGTTCCATATTTAATTTTTTGAGGAAACTCCATACTGTCTTCCATAATAGCCGCACCAGTCCCCAGACACTATTAAACCAACTTCCATTCGGGACAACTGGGGCTTCATCTCACAGGGAAACACTCTCAGGATTAGCCTGCCCGCCTTCCGGTAGCTGAGGGCTGGGCCTGGGGTGCTCCTTTCCTGGCCTTTCCAGCCTGCACACCTGTGGGCCTAGATCAGGGGTGGGCAAACTTTCTGACTCGAGGGCCACAATGGGTTCTTAAACTGGACCGGAGGGCCGGAACAAAAGCATGGATGGAGTGTTTGTGTGAACTAATATAAATTCAAAGTAAACATCATTACATAAAAGGGTACGGTCTTTTTTTTTTTTTAGTTTTATTCATTTCAAACGGGCCAGGTCCGGCCCGCGGGCCTTAGTTTGCCCACGGCTGGCCTAGATAGACGCTACCTCAGTTATGGGAGAATCACCCTCAGATACAGAGATGCAGACCGAAAGGACCAAGACACGGGGGTGGTCTCTGGGGTATTATTGGCCACCTGTGTGCAACCCCATGCAGGGCCTGGGAGGGACAGAGTGGAGGCTTAAGACGAGGTCCCTGCCTGCCAAGGAGTTAAAGGCATGCAGGATTCTAAACACACACACACACACACACATACAAGACATGAAGGATTCAAAACACACAAGACATGCAGGATTCTAAACACACACACATACACACACACACACACACACACACACACAAGACATGAAGGATTCAAAACACACAAGACATGCAGGATTCTAAACACACACACACAAACACACACACACACATACACACACACAACATGCAGGATTCTAGGAGAGGTTGGAAGTCAATGCAAAACACCACGGACCACTTACCTGACCTTTAGGCAGAAGTGCTTACCTTGGTCAAAGCTGGCAGAGCAGCCCTCTCCTCGCCCTTCCTTGAAAGGCCAGCGGCAGAGTTTTCACGTGTCGGCCTTTGTAACCTGGCAACAGACAGGGAAGGGACTTTGGGAAGAGCCCTGTCCTCCCCGGAAAGGAGGTCAGCAGCCACGCCCGCAGGGTCCCTGAAGCAGACGGGCGTGGCCCTCCCTGTGCGGAGGTCTGTGCTGAGCAGGTTGAGGAGGACCTGGGGACTCCAGGGACGAGGACCAGGGCTTGGTGTGGCTCCCTGAGGAGGAGAGAGGGGAGACACGCCCCAGGGCCTCGCCCAGCGCCCCAGGCTCAAGGGAAAGACAGCCTGGGGGAGACACCAGCTAAACTACCCCAGGTCCTTGACCTACGGCAACTGTGAGATGATAATAAATTGTCTTAAGCCACTATGTTTTTGGGTAATTCTGTTACACAGCAGCTAGCATGCCCGGGCCACCTCCTTCACCTCAGTTGTGCCTCTCGGCCAGCTGCCTCGCCCTTGATCTGAAGAGTGGAAAACCCAAAGCCAACCTGATCGTAAGAAGCCACGTGTCACCAGGCACCACAGACACCCAGGGCCAGTGCTCCCAGGAGTGTGCATTATCTCCAGGAGCGATGCTGCGCCCTGCGGGGGGAGGAGCTGCACCCTGCGGGGGGAGGAGCTGCGCCCTGCGGGGGAGGAGCTGCGCCCTGCTGGGGGAGGAGCTGCGCCCTGCGGGGTTGGAGCTGCGCCCTGCGGGGGGAGGAGCTGCGCCCTGCGGGGGAGGAGCTGCGCCCTGCGGGGGGAGGAGCTGCACCCTGCGGGGGGAGGAGCTGCGCCCTGCGGGGGGAGGAGCTGCGCCCTGCGGGGGAGGAGCTGCGCCCTGCGGGGTTGGAGCTGCGCCCTGCGGGGGGAGGAGCTGCACCCTGCGGGGGGAGGAGCTGCGCCCTGCGGGGGAGGAGCTGCGCCCTGCGGGGGGAGGAGCTGCACCCTGTGGGGGGAGGAGCTGCGCCCTGTGGGGGAGGAGCTGCGCCCTGCGGGGGGAGGAGCTGCACCCTGTGGGGGGAGGAGCTGCGCCCTGCGGGGTTGGAGCTGCGCCCTGCGGGGGGAGGAGCTGCGCCCTGCGGGGGGAGGAGCTGCGCCCTGTGGGGGAGGAGCTGCGCCCTGAGGGGGAGGAGCTGCGCCCTGTGGGGGGAGGAGCTGCACCCTGCGGGGGGAGGAGCTGCGCCCTGTGGGGGAGGGGGGGGGAGCTGCGCCCTGCGGGAGAGGAGCTGCGCCCTGCGGGGTTGGAGCTGCGCCCTGCGGGGGAGGAGCTGCTGGCTGCCATGTGCTAGATGAGACCACGTGGTTTCTACTTGCCATGCCTCAGCCTAGAGCGGGACAGAGCTAGTCACATGTATTTTCATCGTATGCGATTTGTGTCCTGCCCCTACCTTATTATTATAATATTTTAGGTCATCTCATAAAGCTCTTCTATCTCATTTGTTCCTCACTTGAGTTCCCTCAGAATTATCTCCATTTTATTTTCTTTCTTTTTATTTTATTTTATTTTATTTTTTAAAAAATATATTTTATTGATTTTTTACAGAGAGGAAGGGAGAGAGATAGAGAGTTAAAAACATCGATGAGAGAGAAACATCGATCAGCTGCCTCCTGCACATCTCCCACTGGGGAGACGCCCGCAACCCAGGTACATGCCCTTGACCGGAATCGAACCTGGGACCTTTCAGTCCGCAGGCCGACGCTCTATCCACTGAGCCAAACCAGTTTCGGCTATTTTCTTTCTTTTTAAAAAATATATTTTTAATGAATTCAGAGAGGAAGGGAAAGAGAGAGCGAGACATCAATGGTAGAGAAGCATTGATCGATTGCCTCCTGCGCGCCCCATACAGGGATCGAGTCCGCAACCTGGGCATGTGCCCTGACCGGGAATCGAACCGTGACCTCGGGGTTCATAGGTCAATACTCAACCACTGAGCCACACCAGCTGGGCTATCTCCATTTTACAGTGTAGGCTTAGGGGGAAGAGGTGACTTACTCAAATCACACAACTTGTAAGAGACCTGCTTTAAGGTCACCAATCGTCCTTTTAGGAAATGTTTATCAAGCAACTGCTCAGTACGTAACGGAGTTCACCGGCAGGCTCCGCCCGTCCCCACATGGTGTTAGGCGTCGAACATTCCCGATTCCCTTTCATCGCCACAACGTCTTCGAGGTGGGAGGGTGTTAGATCCCTTCACACGGGAGGAAAGGGGCTCCGGTGGGGGACTTGCCCAGGGTCACCCAGAAGCTAAGGGCAGTGGGTGACTATGCTGTGGGCCCTCCGACGGCTCTCGCAGTCTGCGCCCAGAGGTGAACCACAACAGGAAGAGACAAAGACAGCAACAGGGCTTGTTGGCGGGTCAGTGGCTAAGGCAGGTGGGGTGGTGCTGGGAGGAAGTGTTTCTGGGAACTGTGGGGGCAGAGAAGCTTCCTGGGGAGGCAGACGCCTCTCACACGGGGGCTCCAGAGGGCCCTGGGTGGTGGGAGAACACTTTCTCCGGCCTCCTGGCCACGCTGTGTACTTGTTCATGGTCAAATCCAGCCTTTAGTAAACTTATCGACACCTCCCATTCCGATCATCACCGGGAAGGGCTTAGGAAGGGTTCCACCTCCCTCCACATCCCCACTGAATCACAGCCCCCGCCAGCACTCTGGCCGGCGACCGCTGCCCATGCCTCGGCACGGAGGGGCTGCCCAAGGCCTCGCTCAGCATGTGGGCCTGGGGCCAG